GCTGAGCCCGTGAATGAAACCAATGAGGAATGAGACGCAGGGGGCAGAAATGTCTCCGTCTACCCAGGCACTTGCCAGAGGGACCCAGGGAGCGATCGCGGCTTCCAAGAGCCTCAGTCATGCTGGCTTAGCGGGCACCCCTCCCCGCTCGCAGCCCCCCCCCAGAGGGGCACCGGGTGGCAGGTGCTGCACATGAACAGCTCCCCGGCTGTGAGCTTTTACACCGTGAGAATACGGCGGAGGCCGGCCTCCAGCACCCAGGCGCCTCAGCAGGAGAGACGCCCAGCGACCGTGAGGTGCCCCTGGGAGGGAGACCATGCCCTGAACGAGAACCCTCACCCTCCAAAGACGTCCCCACGCCAGGGCCCGGACTGCAAACATCCTTAGTCTTAACACCGGTCTCAGTGCAGATGCTAAATTTCCTTTTGAAAAAAAAAGATTGACTTTATTTATTTATGTATACAAGAACTGGGGTGCAGGCCAGAGGTTCAGAGGTATGGGGCTCTCCAGAGACAGAGTGGGAGCAGAACAGGCTGACTGACGAAACCCACTGCTGAGGGGCAGCCAGGAGACTCGGGAGGTCTGCTGCGCCCTGGGTCACCCCCTGGCTGGATCAGCTGGTGCTGCAGGGGCGGCGGGCAGCTTCTTAGTGCTGAGACTTCCGCCACCAGGGAGGGCCCAGAGGCTGAATTTTCAACCACTGAAATAAAATGTAACCCTGCCAAAGCAAAGTGAGAGGCCAAATGCGAGCCACGGGAACAGCAGCCGTGTTTGGCAGGAGGCGGGGAGGGGGCAGAGAGAAAGGGGAGACGCGACGTGTTTGCATATTTTGTGCTTGTGGATGGGAGTTTGCCAACGGAGGGCGGCAGGTCGAGGTTTCCCCGGAGACTGCGGCAACGTGGTGCTCGGTGACCCCACAACCCCCCACCAGGGAGGAAAACACGGGGTGGGGGTCATCAGCAGGACGGCGGGTGCTGGGGACGCCTGGTGGCACCAGCGTTGTGCCGGGCACCCAGGACACTGCTGGCCGAGGGAGACCGGCCGCTGCTTTCTGGGGCAGCCTGGGGGAGCGGGACGGGCAGAGCCTGCGGGAAGACTGGGGTTCAGACGTGCGGGCTGCGTGACCCTCAGTGGTCTCTGGCCCTCTCTGGGCCCCGCCCGGCCGGCTGCCCCGGGTCCCCATTTCCCGGTGAGCGACTCAGGGGACCCCTCCCCGCGGGCAGCCCATCTCCTGCCCGCCACGCCCGCTCTTCACAGCCCGCCGGGCTGCCACGGCACCTCTGGCCCCTACCCCAGCACCCAGCAGCCCTGGGGACTCATCCTGCGGCCACACAGGGCCGGGCCACCCCAGCCCGGGGCTCCCCCCCAGCCCGCCCGCTCTCCTGGGCACGCACACCTGGCGCCTGGCTGTCCCCGCCCACGCCTCTGCCCAGGCTATTTCTGGAAGCAGAGTTCAGCCAGGTGCTGGCCGGCAGCTGCTACCTGCTGCTCCTTGGGGACAGGCCTGAGCCTCTCCCCACTCCACCTGCGCCGCCCTGGGGCCAGGCCTGGGGTGCTGTCTCCACCCTCTGCCAGAATGAGGGTCACATCTGGTTCCAAAGCTGGTTCTGAGGCCAGGAGCCTCCTCCCTCCTCCCTCCGAGGGGCCAGGGTGGGGGCCCAAGCAGCTCTCCTCTGGGGTTGCACCCCTCTGGCCAGCACGCTGAGGGGTGCAGTCTTACACCCCACTCGCCTCCTCTTCCTTCTGCGGCCTCGTCTCCGCTGGAGCCGCCCTGGCTGTGGACACGTAGGGACTCTGCGTAAATGGGGTGTCTTCATGGACTCACACTGCTGAGACACAAATTCAGTCTCCCAGCACCCCGAGACGGTTCCAGGTCTTTTTCAGCTGGGCGTCAGGCGGTGGGGCTTCGAGGCGCCGGGATGCTCTCCCCAGCCATGTGCCTGTGCTCCCCAACACAGGGGCTCCCCGCCTGCCCGCTGATAGCCAGGGCGGGGCTCAGCAGCCACAGCGAGAGGCAGGAGGTGGGGACGGGGGTCCAGGGACATCTCGGGCACATCAGTGAGGGTTACTGGTGGCCATCGGGGGGAGGGGGGCGGGGTGGCCGCACCAGGAGGCGGAGAGTCCAGGCCGAGGAGGGCGGCTGTCTGCCAGCAAAGGGCCTCCAGCGTCCTGACCTGGGCGGTGCCGCCCCACTGGGGCTTGCGCCATCGGGACGGCC